CTAACCAGTATCGTCAATCTTATACCTGCAGATCGCTGTAGTCCAATACCAGATGGATCGACAACCCCAAATTCTACGGCACATATGATACTTAATTATTCGCACGATCCCAATATAACGACCAAGATTATACGTCTTGCAGAAGAAAAACTGCCAACTGACTTATCTTTATATTTTTGTACAACATCTCACATGGTGCAGGAAAATAAATATCATATCCTTAAAAGGACATCATGTGTATAAATATCCGGACAATTTATTTACCGGTACACCATTCTAGCAGCAGCCAATCAAATTATCTTATGATTATTTACAACGATTACGTACTACACACGTAATAAATATTTCTGTTAAATATGTAACTTTGGTTCCATTAATGTATTATAACTATTCAACGTAACTCTTCTTTTTTATTAACAATGTCAAAAGAAAATATACTAAATAAATACAATAATTCAAAAGGTGACTATAAGAAACAAGACTTTAGTCCTTTACAACATCAAGTACTACATAGTGTTGATGAGACTCAGGATTTCATAAATAAAAAAATAATTGATGAGCTATGTCAATTACATGAAAATGAAGCATTTAAAGGAAGTTATGATTCAGAATTTATTAATTCTATAGAAAAATATTTAGAAAATAAACAAATAAAATCAGAATATTTAATTAATTTGTGTTTAAAAAATCAAACAAATTCTATACTTTTAACTATTCTTGCACGTTGTTATCGTTATGCAAAATGGGTTGAAAAGGATGAACATAAATCATTCATTTATTATAAAAAATCTGCTGATATGGGAAATTCTTACGCAATGTGTGATCTTGGCCAATTGTATGAGATGGGAATTGGAGTTGACGAGGATAAATATAAAGCATTTTTTTATTACCAAATGTCTGCTGACATGGACAGTCCTTGTGGAATAGATAAAATTGGTTATTGTTATAGAAATGGAATAGGTGTTAACAAGGATGATAATAAAGCTTTTTTTTATTATAAAAAATCAGCTGATATGGGTCATGCTAGTGGTATGTTGTATCTTGGCTATTGTTTTCAATATGGAATTGGAGTTGAGAAAGATGAGCACGAAGGATTTATTTATTATAAAAAATCTGCTGATTTGGACAATGCTGGTGGATTATTTAATGTTGGTTATTGTTATCGTTATGGTATTGGAGTTAAAAAGGATGAAAGTATGGCATTCATTTATTATTTAAAGTCATCCGAAATGGGTAATGCTAATGGAGCATATAGCGTTGGTTACTGTTAT